ATTTTTATCCACAGTAATGTCAACAATATAATAACGTCTTCACCAACAAAAAATAAAACCAAATCTGCATTCTGATTTTCTAACATAAATCTTACAGCTTGGTCTTCCTCTCTTGAACCAAAAACACTATTGAGAATTCAACTATAACTGTCTCTTTTTTTGTTGTTGTTTTGTTTTTGTTTTTTTAAATCTTTATTGTTGGATGTAAAATGTGTTACAGATGTTCCACATTTTTCCCCCATTGACCCCCTCCTCCCCACTCCCGCCCCCTCCCGCCTTTTCCCACACTATTGTCTGTGTCCATTGGTTATGCATATAAGTTCTTTGATTTATTTCTTCCCACCCACCCCCAACCCCTTTCCCTTTGAGGTTTGTCAGTCTAGCAATGAATTTGTGCCCCTTCACCTTTTCACCCAATCCCCCAACCCCCTTCCCAACTGGCAACCAACAAAATGTTCTCTGTATCTATGAGAATGTTTCTGTTCTTCCTGTTCATTCTGTTTGTAGATTCCATTGTTGATAGATATGTATTCATTGCCATTTTGTTTGTTCATACATTTTATCTTTTTCTTCAAAAAGATCCTTCATCATTTCATATAATAACGGTTTGGTGGTGATGAAATCCTTTAACTTTTTCTGGTCTGGGAAAGTCTTTATATGGCCATTGATTCTAAATGACAGCTTTGCAGGATAGAGTAATCTTGGTTGTAGGTTCTTGCTTTTCATCACTCTGAATATTTCTTGCCACTCCCTTCTGGCCTGCCAAGTTTCTTTTGAGAAATCAGCTGACAGCCTTATGGGAACTCCCTTGTAGCTAACTAGCTGCCTTTCTCTTGCTGCTTTTAAGATTCTCTCTGTCTTAAACCTTTTGTATTTTGATGATGCTGTGTCTTGGTGTGGGCCTCTTGGGGGTCATCTTGTTTGGGACTCTCTGTGCTTCCTGGACTTGTATGTCTGTTTCCTTCACCCAGTTAGGAAAGTTTTCTGCCATTATTGTTTCAAACAGGTTTTTGATTTCTTGTTCTCGCTCTTCTCCTTCTGGCACCCCCAAGATGCGAATGTTGGCATGCTTGAAGTTGTCCTTACACTATCCTCATTTTTTTGGATTCTTTTTTCTTTTTGCTGTTCTAATTGGGCATTTTTTGCTTCCTTATATTCTAAATCGATGGTTTGCTCCTTGGATTTACGTACTCTATTATTGAAGCTGTGTAAATTATTCTTTATTTCAGTTAATGCCTCCTTCAATTCTAACTGTGCATCCATAATTTCTGACTGGTCCTTTTTTATGCTCTTGAGGCCCTCCCTAAGTTCACTGAGGTTCTCACTAAGTTCATTGAGCATCCTTATAAGCAGTATTTTGAACTCAGCATCTGTTATGGTGCTTATCTCCATTTCGCTTAGTTCTTTTCCTAGGGTTTTGTTCTGTTCTTTCATTAGGGACCTGTTTCTTTGTCTACTCATTTTGGCTGCCTCCCTGTGTTTGTTTCTGTGTATTACTTAACAAGAGGTATGGGGCTAGCTGAGACCAGATGCTGCTCGTTTGAAAGAATTTAGGAAAACCTGAAGCAGGATCCAAGACCGGCCAATCCTATGGTTAAGCAAGTGGCAACAGCTTGGGTGGGCCTGAAAGTTGGGTGGGGCGGGGCCTCAGGAGTCACCAGGGCGGGGCTACCAGTGTGAGCCAGGTTGCTGGAATCCCAGATATGGCTTCTGTCTGCCACCCCCGGGAAGGGCTCACCAAAGGAACAAAGGCCTCTGACAGCACGTTTGTCCCGGAGAAAGCCCCCTCTCCAGCCTTCCCTCCAGTGCCAAACAGCTCAGTTCTTCCCTGTGTGTCTCTGGCGCCCCTCGAGCTGCCTCCCCTCCGAGCTTAGAGGGAGAGAGTCCGATAAGTCTGTGCGCGGGCCCTTTAAGGAGCTGCCTGGGGCTCCAGCCCCTCAGCCTCCCTGAGCCTCAGTTCCCGCTGGTTTTCCAGCCAGAAGTGATGGGGATTCTCTTCCTGGCACTGGAACCCTTAGCGGGGCACCTGGTGTGGGAGGGGACCCCTCAGTCCTCAGGGAGGACCTTCCCAGCCGAGGTGTCCTCCTGATTCGTATCCCCACACGTGGGTGTGGGCCCAGGCTGTCCCCTCCGCCCTCCTACAGTCTGGATGTGGCTGCTGCTTTAATCCCGTAGCTGTAGGACTTCCATCCAGCTCGATTTCAGGCGGTTTTGAATGATGGTTGTTCTGTAGTTTAGTTGTACCTTTGATGTGGGTGTGGGAGGACGCGATACCGCGTTTACCTACCCGCCGTCTAGACCGGAAGTTATAACTGTCTCTTTAAATGTATAATTAATATGTCTCTTTAAAGATTTTGATAGAATATTTTATTTATTATCAAATATATACCTCTTTTAAAAAACCAGAGCTGTTCTAAAAAACAAAAAAACCGCAAAATCTGATCAACATAAATGTACTGTAGTGAGAATTATGCTATATAATATTAACAGTTTCCAACTGATTTCCAAGAGTTGGAAGCAGTAATGTGAACATCTTTCAATAAAGCTATAGTTTAATTTTTTCCAGGGAAATATTTTTAATAGGATTACTGATCCTTTTAACACTCTTAGAAAGAAAATGACTCCCATGAGCACTCTGGCGTATAGCTATTATAAAATTAAATAGAACAGTCAATCTGTAGAAATGGGAATGGACTTGAGGACCTAAACCTACTACAGAAATGCACGTAAGTATGCACGGTGCTAACCACGCATAATCTTTAACAGGGAACAGATTCCACTACGTAGCAGCAAAACGACCGAACACACAGAGAAATGAAGGGCTGAAGAGAAGGGGAAGACTTTGTAGAGATGGCTTTCACGTTTTCCTGAAGCCGAACGAACCATTTTCACTCGGATCAGCCTGCTGTCACTCAACTCTTAGGCCTGTCCCCAGTCCTGCTGGGCTTTTCAGAAGGCATTTAAATGTTTCTGGAGGAGGAGGATGCTTACTGATTTAAGACACATTTTTGCACTCACAATTCTTTGTGCTTTAAGAGGAATTTTTTCAGGTCATTAGTTTATAATGAGAATGGTGCCTCGGGATATTTTGAAAGGAGAAAAAAAATAAAAAAGCTAGTGAGCTTTGAGATGCAGTTTATGTTATTTGCATCATCATTTATTTCATCTCAATTTGGGGCCCAAAACTAAACTCAAAATAAGTGAACACATGTGCCACAGTGTCTGTCTCAGCATGTAATGATCATACAGAAATCTGAAAAGAGAACAGACCCCTTATCCCCAAAACAAAAATATTATAAATAACCCCCTTAAAGCATCCAAGTCCTTGCAAGTTCTTCCTCTTCCATAGTACAAAAATAAAATCAGCTTTACAAACAATGTCAAGTATCAAAACGCCAAACGCCATTGCATAAACTCTGTTGGTTTTACTCTTGTCTACACACACACACACACACACACACACACACTCCCAGTCACTGCATACTGGCATGCTGGGCTCCAGTAACTATGGAACTAAATCGTTAGCCTCAAAGCAAGCAAGCATCTTCCTAAACCCCAGTTCCTAAACTCAGGTGATTTGGCCATTATCATGATGAATTTGATCTACATATCATGTCAAAATAGATCATTCACAGTCCTAAAGTTAACTAGAGAGTTTCTAAATTCTCCGTTTACCTTTAGTGTAAACCAAACCACAGCCCACAGCTTTTAGGTGTAAACAAAACAGTTATCGATATTCCAGCTGTTTTGTACCACAAAAGAAACAGCTTAGAATCACTTTTCCTTTTCTTCATGTTGACTACCCTACCTTCAGATTTGTTAAGGACTCATGAATCATGACTTAAAATCATAAAGTCAAGCATCTTGAGTGTCATGAACTGGAAGATTTGAAACTTCCTGTTCTCATTCTGGGGTACAGGTTAGAATCCCCAGAGGAACTTTTACAAACTACTGATTCCTAGGCCCCAGCTAAGATTTAGAGTGAACCCTAGTATCCATAAGCTCTAAAAGTTCCCCTGGTGAGTCCAATATGCAGCTAAATGGAGAACCAATGGTCTCACAAATGTGGACCAATGACCCAGAAGGGCCCGAGGTTGAGATCAAGCCAGGGCGATCTGAAGCAGGATTCACAATACAGATTACAAGCTCAGCTGCCTACGGGAACCACTTAAGTAAGTGGCGCAGGCCATGTAGACACACCTGAGCTCCAGCTGACATTGCCATCAGGGAAATAACTGGGAACAGATTTTCTCACTTAATCGGAAAGAAACACAGATCAAGATTTTTATGTAAAAATTTCCAGCTTTGAAAAAAACCAATACAGTAGGTGGCAAACAAAACACATCATGAAACACACAACACAGGTTTGGACTTTCAGCTTCAGTTAATCACTTCTAGTCTAAAGGGTGGTTTCCATTGCAGGAAATCATAACAGCACCACCATCATCCTCCTCATCATCATCCTCCTCATCATCCCAACAACAACAATACCCGGATCTCATTAAGTACTTATATGTCAGCCACTATGCTAAGAGCTTTACAGATTATCTCAATTCACTTGCACCAACCTCTGAGGATCCTCTTTCCCTGATAACCATCCCACCCGAGGTCACACAGCCAGAAAGTGGCGATGTCAGGGTACACATGTGTGCAGTGTAACTCCACCGCCTATATACTACGATGTAGATCTTTAAAGTTTTAAATATGCTTTTAAAACCCTCCACTGTTTGCACTTGGGTTTCTTCAAAAATAATACTGATTTCTCAGGCCCCTTTTAGTTCTCAAATTCAATAGTTCTGACTTCATAATACAGCTGTTGGTTGCATTAAAATGTTGACATTTACATGTATCAGCCCGAATGCCTAATAGGAATGCCTGATCAAAGGAGTGGAATGAATGAATGCTCATTAAGTAGTCTTTCTGAGAAGGCAGCAAAGGCATAACATTATAATAATATTCTTTATCTCTACGGCTATAGGAAGTTTACTTTCCCATTTTACCTTGTGAAAGGTGAGTAAAGGTGCTCAGAAATTCTTCATACGTTTGCTCATGACAATTAACAAACTTATCCAAGACTTCTTCAATTATTTGATCTTCATCCATGATCTCCAGCTCTGCTATCTGGGCAAGCACTCCTATTCACGAGGCCACTCTATCTGTGAAACAAAGAAAAACATGAGCTAGAGAGAGGCATGTGGTACCAGCCTCTCTGAAAACCCTCTAATGGCAGGTGAAAGAATGCCAAGACCCCAACAGGACAGATCAGGAAAGTTACTGCAGCAATAAATAAGCTCTAGTTCAAGAGACCAGCGTGTATTCATGTCTTGGCTTCGGGGCTGCTGTCACCATTCTGGTTCTGCTTCCGTTTCCTCATTCCCATCTCCTGAATTCACATGTCCTCTCATCTTTGTACCCCAAATGTTTAACAGCCCAGGAAAGGGCACAGAGCGCAGGCAGACGGTGTCAAGCTGAAATCACAGACTATCTCTGGCTTATGGCGGTGCTTTTCGCTGTACCGGTGGTGTGAAGGCAATAAGACTTCAGGAAACCATATTTCAGATCCGCATGTTGGGCTCTTCCTGGGCTAACGATATGCAGGGCGATGCTCCTTCGTGGTGCTGAGCTGTGACAAAGGCCGCAGCTCCCAGCCAGCCACCCGATTGTGAAGGTAAACAAGTGCTGGTGTAGTGTTAGATGCGTTTTCAACTTACAGTATTTTCACAAGCTTATGATGGGTTTATCTTGATGTGACCCTGTGGTAAGTCAAGGAGTATCCGTTCTCATTTGAGCAGGTCCTCTAGTCCAATGTGGCTGGAAACTGGCAAAATACTCATATAAAGGTGCCCAATCACTTCCCCTGTGCTGTACCTGACGCAGCGGCAAGTCCCTCGCCCTCCCGACCCATCGGCCGGGAAGAGGCCTCACACTGCCTACATTCCTTTAAAGCAGGCCACCCAAAATGAAGACAAGACCCAGAAATGGTCTGCGACTGTGAGACATGACTGCCTCCCACGGTCCCGATATTGCGCTCCTGCTGTGAAGCTGCAGACCACGCTCACGTTGCCGGTGCCCCTCCGCGGTGTCAGTTCGCCTCTCGGCTAACGGACCGCCTGTCCGCCTGTCCGCCTGTCGGCCAAGACGCAATGCCTCCGTCACGCGTCTGAACTTCCTTTACTGACATTTCACCTTGTTCAAGCCCATTCACTGTGCGGAATGTGGTCTCACGTAGCTCTGGGGACAGTGCTATCTACAAAAAGCAGAGGAGTAATGACTGCCGAAGTAGCTAGTAAGATTCCTGGGGGATCATGAAAAGGAGGGGTCCTCCTATACTGTAGAGCAGACAGAGAAAGCACCAAGATTCTTATCTTTTTCTAAAGTGAGAGTAAAAATCTGCCAATAGTAACTGTACGTATTTGGTATGTATCAAAAAGCTCAGAAAGAAAAAAAAAAATGCCCAACTTCATTGGGTGGCAAAACCTGATCTGAATTAACATGAAAGTATTTATAGCTTCTATTTACTTCATTCAGTGTAACTATTCAGATATTTCCCTGCAGAAATACTAATTGGCTTACTTTTGAGATGCTTTCCAAGAAAGACCCCACTGGAGATTTTGTGTAATAAGTGGCATTTGCCCTGATTCCCTTTCTAAACGCCAAAAAATTCTGGATTCTGCAGTACATCTGACCCCAAGGGTCTTAAATGAAGAACCGTGGAGCTGCGTGCGCCTCACGGGATCCGACGAGGGTTCATCGAACGCACGGCACCTCAAGGAACGTTAGCCGGTGGTCGCGGTGATGACAATGGACCCGCCTCCACGATCTGTCCTCCGCCTACACAAGGACGTCCTTTGACAGTCACTCCTCTGCCTTTGAAGGCGCTGCTGTGACCTCGAGAAAAATGAAGATAATTCCTCATGCGTTACAACCCTAGATAAAACATGGTGCTGGTAAAAGACCGGGTGAAAATTAAATGTGCAGCTCTGTACCAACTCAAAGAAAGAAACTGCTCCAAACTGTTCCAAACTATCTGTACCTCTTAATTAGATGTAGAAAAAAAGCATTAGTTAAGGTTTATGCAGATTTACTTGCAACACTGCCAAAATTTAATCAATTACATTTGAAACTGCTAGACAAAACGTGAAGATAAATAAAATGAAAAGTGGCTATAACTTCACTATCAGTAGGACATGTGCTTGATTCCAAGAATGTCAGTGTTCATCTGATTTTCCAGAACTGGACCCCAACAAAATTCTAACACTGTCCTAGACCCTCACAGCAGCCCAGGGCACCCACTTCCACGAGCAAACACCACACAGCAGCAGTCAGCTGGGTCTGAGATTGCTGTACGCGTCTCCTTTAAGAGCGACGACAGAAATTCCTTTAAACCTTTCCAATTCACAAACCGGAATGTTTTGAGTATTTAGCCTTAACACACGTCCGCTTTACTAAGGGCAAATAATTAACAGACTGTGCACAGCACAAATTCAAAATCCTTCAAGACCTTTAATTTTCTTCATGTGATTATCACAATACAGAAGAAGTTATGTTTTCATTGACTTTTATAAGACTTCTAGAAAATCCACTTTCGCAAAATGCCATTATTTAAAGCATTTAACAAACATCCATCTCCAAATTTAGAACTTTCCCTGTCTGTAAAAATACAAACAACCGAGTGTCACACGTCCCCGGGGACTGACAGGGCAGATCATCATTTACCAGACAGTCCAGTGGTTTATGCAAATCCTAGCGGTTTTCTGAAAGGAAGCAATGCTTTTTCAGTTACTATTCACATGTGTTTGTGTTTTGATCATAAAGTATTTTTCTAAAAGAAAGAAGGGGAGGGGGGGAGACACTTACTAGATAACGAGATTCTTTGTTTTGGTTTGGTTTTTATGTTGTGAGGCTTTGAGCTCCACACGAAAGACCCAGAACATATTATGATGGTAAGTAAATGTGCATGAATATCTACTGGTAAATCATAGGTAACACTTTCACAATCACAGCCTCCAGTAGGAAACACGGGGAGGAAGCGTTGCTCCGCTTGGACTACTAAACAACACGCGAAAGCCACAGGCTTGGTGAGGACAGGATTCTCTTACCCAGTCGCTGAGAGACAGCAAAGGAACCGCATAACCCTCCCGGGGTCCTATTTTCTACAACCACCCACGCCAGTTGGTGTAGTGTGCTCTCTGAAAGGATACCATTACGAATTGTGGTGTGCCGAATTACCACCACTGATTTCGTACATCTTTGATGTTTCCCTTCAGATCCCTGCCTGATGCAACTTACTACACCAAGTGCAACTTTCAGAGACAAGAGTCACAGGCTCACGAAACAGGATGCCATGAGCTAGCCTCCTGTCAGCGTGCTTAAGCCTGCTTTTCACTGCACAGAGAGGTGTGTCTCCACAGAAAGATTTTTTTTTTAAAACACTGGGAGGCTTACCACTGATACATAAAAATAATAACGAGCACGTTTTTAAAGAATTGTGCAGGGACTATCAGAACCCACTTCCTCAAGTGTGCATAGTTCTTTCTGCTCAACAAAAATCTCCCGCCTGTGCTAAAAGGTAAGATGGGATATTATCAGAATAAGTCTCCTTGCCTAAGGAGATGAAACACAACCTTGGTACTTCAAGGATGCATCTGCTTATATATATAGTTTGAAAAATGGACAAATCTCAAAAAGACCAAGTGGCATTGTAAATGTACTGATTTATTTACAGTGACCGCAGAGACTTGATGTGAACTGATTTCATCCTCCTTGACTTAACTACACCTATTTTGCATTCCCTCTTTTTTTTTAGATCACATTAAGGAAACAGAAAGAAGTCCAATGACAGAAGTTGCCACAAATTCTCAGAGAGAAAACTGAAGGTCATCTAGTCCAACTACAGCAAATCTGGGAAATTTTAGATAGGGTTTTTGCCATCTAATGATTCTGTCGATGAGGAATGTTGTGTGACTCATGTCATAAATAGTAATGACATGCTCATGGTTATGAATTTTAAGGCATGTGTGAAGTCAGCAGGAAATTAAGCAAAAAGCAGCCATCTCCCCTTGATGGGTGTATCCACGCCTCCAACTATATTTTGTACCCAATAATATTGTTCTTTCAGACACTTACCCAATACAAACAAGAAAACAACAGAAGAGATCAAAGGAATAAAGAAGAAGGCATAGATAGAAATCTTACAAAATAGAAAAGGATCTCAACTCCTTTTCTGTTCTTTTTTTCATAAGGATGAGATAAAAAGATGCAATTCCCACATCAAAAAATACACTGCACTTCAAATTATAAGCTTCTCCCAACAAATCTACCCTAACACTCAAAAGGCACAGAATTTTTCATTATCATCAAAAATGTTGATGGCACGAGCATCTCTATTCTACATAAATGCTCCGAGGGCACTGCGGGAATATTACAGGAAGCACCTGGAGAGAGGTAGGCCAGGCCTGGGGGACTGTGGGCTACAAAGCTTTAGAAAAGAGAGGGACGGGCTGTCATCCACGCAGATGTCTCGGGTAGGCGTGTCTTGGCTATACTTTTTTCCTTGACAGAAATTTCATCTTAAGGAAAAGAAAAGACACCCATTCTAAAAACTGCATGTAAGGAAACACGTGTGCTCACTACATGCTTGCCATGAACATAGATATCGCAACATTCGCTTAACAGACCAGGTCTAGTTCCTCTCCTAAAGAGGATTATAATCTATGTGCTCAATACAGGACACTGTTTTTGTAACAGGAATGAGTCTGATGATGACCTGTTACATGATCAGCAGTATGGAATGGAGTGAAAGCTTTTTAAAATAAAGGATGGAACAGGAATAAGAACAATAAAAACATACCAAGGCAAAATAGTGAATTTTATAAAGAAAGCAAGAAAATATGTAGACAATCTTTATAAACATGGGTCTAGACAACGAGTTCTCATACTTGACACCAAAAGCATGATCCATAGGAGAAAAATTTGATAAACAAACTTCAGAAAAATTAAAAACTTTGCTCTGTGAAAGATCCTGTTAAGATGAAAAGAAAAATTGCAGAAAATATTCATAAATCACATATCCAATAAAGGACTAGCATATAGAATATACAAAGAACTCTCAAAATTTAACATTATAGAAAAATCCAATTTAAAAAGAGCAAAAGAC